TTACAATAAGGGTGATGAGACACTGGAATAGGCTTCCCAGACAAATGGTTGTTGCTTTATTATTGTAACTGTTCAAACGCAGGTTGGACAGGGCTTTGAGCACTCTAATACTCAGGTGAAAGGTGTCCCTGCCCATGCTGGGGTGGGGAGGTTTGAACTAGATGATCTTCAAAGGTTCCTTCCAACCCAAACTATTCTATGACATTATGATTCTATGATTAATGGTCTGGAAGCACATTAGGCAGAGTACATCCTCTATAACTTTGCAGATGATACAAAACAGGGAAGAGTGGCTGACAGGGTTATGCTGGCATCCAGAGGGACATGGATGGGCTGGAGAAATGAGCTGACAAGAACTTTGTGAACTTCAACAAAGGGAAATGCCAACTCCTATCCCTGAAGAAACATGTTAGACAGTGTGAAGGTTACATGTCACAATAGAAGTCCATAAGTGGGATAAGAGTTTATGCATTATACTGAATTCGGGTGTAGGCATTAGACATGCATATGGTTTCAGACCAAAGCACGTGGTCTTCATGGGGTGGGACCAGAGAACCTAGAGTACAACCAGTGGGGGCCTATGAGAGGTCTCTCTCGCAGCCTATAGAGCCCGGTGTTGGTGCTCACCACAGCAGGGAGAAATGGGAAGTAACTGTGGGGTGCCAAGCATACCCATAGCCCAGGGATGTGCAGACCCCCAAGAACCAGGGAAAGGGTCCTCATTTGGAGCCATGCCCTCTCCAGGTGAAAAGCAGGTCTTGTCAGAGAGCTGCCCAGCCCCTCCTGAACCCTCCCAGCTCTTAGATGAGCAGAGACACTGGAGCTCAAGCCTCCTTTTCTTTCCCTGCTCTCTGTTTGAGTCCCAGGGCTGCTGGGGCTTTCCAGAGCCAGTGGCTCTAGGAAGACATGGCAGAAGCTGCTGCTTTTTGACCTGCTCCCCTGTGCTTTATCTTCAAGGAGATACTATGAAAGGTATATGGCTTGGAATTTATCTGTTCTTTACAGTGCATAGCAAGAATATGTCACAAAGCTGTTCCCAACTTCTGCAACACTTCAGACAGTAAGGAAAGACAGCAAAGCCTTCTGGAAATTCCAAGTCTGTGTTTGAACTACCATAGTGCTAAGAGTTTAAAAATAATAAAATAATAATTACAGAGCATTCTAGAAATTCTGAGCTTAAGTCTAAGACAACCTACTGGTGCTTTACAGAAAATTAAGATCATGTTCATTTCAATAGAATGCACTCAAGTTTTCCACAGTGTTACCTGGGACAGTGCCCTAATTCATTACTTCATTTGCCCCTCTCAAACTCAGCCTACTCCTATGCCGGGAAGACCCATCTGCACACTGACCTACAGACATCCTGTTCCCTGCTTTCATGAGTCTAGCCAATTTCCTCAGCCTGTAGATATGTCTCAGCATCAGAAGAATTCCTGACTTCCTCTGTGAGGAGCAGCAGTTCTACAGCCAAGTTTGCTAATCAGGAACCTGTGTCACATTTTTTAAATGTTTCTGAAAATATATACCTCAGGAATCAGCATGACAGAAGTTGTAAGTCTGATAGTGAAAAAAAGATGTTGCCTCCATCAACAACATGTCTTACATGCTTCTAGAAGGGAATAGAGTCACAGGGCTCTATAGGCAAAGCTCTGAACTACCTAAGATGTAAAAGCAAACAGCAACCTGCTTTCTTCTACTCCTTGGATCACACTCTTCATCCTAGCACTGAAGCTTTAGATGCAAACTTTTGTCAGCCCTGGCAATCTCTGTCTTGGCCAAGTCAGATTTTGATTGATACTACCTCAGGAATAAAGCCTTCTTCAGGGATTACCTGTATGAGACAGGGAACAGAGCAATACTGAACTGCCAAGAATTGTGTAACATGTCAAGACTGGGCCCATGTCAGTAAGTAATGGCTTGTAACAGATTTTTTTACTAGTCTGTGCATTCCTTCTGGCCCCATTTGTTGAAAGACACAACATTTCCCTACTCCTTAGAAAACAGGCCCCTTCAGGAGGGTGGGACACCACTGCACACAAATTATCCTTTTGCTCCAAGTAATGTAAAATTATCTCTAAGATAAGTACTTTATGCCTGCATGCCCTCCACAAATGTTACAAAATAATCTGATAAAACTGGGGTGTGCCAGGGCCAGAAATGTGTCTCAGATCCAGTCTCTCAGATCCGACCTGTCACTGCTAGGCCTTGATAATTAACAGTTAATTAACTGTAATATAATTCTTAACTGTAGTACATCACCATTAGTGCATCTGTTAAAAGTTTTAAGGCCATCAGGTTTGAAACAGATTACTTCCAATCACTGACAGAAACTTACTTAGTCCTAGGATTTTGGCCAGAACTGTAATAAAAAGCAATGGGAGTTATATATATATAATATTTTTTAATAGTTTGGGTTGGAAGGGACCTTTAAAAGTCATCTAGTCCAACCCCCCTGCAACAATGCAATAAGCAGGGATATCTTCAACTAGATCTGGTTGCTAAGAGCCCCTTCCAACATGACCTTGAACTGAGCCTTGAATGAGGCTCCATCTCTGTCAGACTCTGTCTTGTTCTACTCTGCCAGTCTCTGTCAATGTGCATAGGGACACCTCTTAGACAGGCCTATGGGGTTATGTAACAAGGCGCTGGCAGCGGCGGGGGCTGCAGGGCAGCTTCTGTGAGAGGCTGGATCTGCCCTGTGCCAGGCACAGCTGGTTCCAGCCAGCTACAAAGGACCCTCTGCAGGACATGGCTGAGCCTCTGAGGTAAGATGGTGGTACCTCAGAGAAAACATACTTAAGAAAGGGCACACTTAACCCTGGGCAGATAAAGGACGAGGGGAAAAATAACAGTGAGAAGCAGCAGAGGAAACACCAAGGTCAAAGAAGGATGAGGTGGAGGCAGTCCATGACTCACCAGCAGATATTCACACCACAGCCTGTGCAGGGACCTACTGCTGGAATAGGGGAAAACTATGATAACGAAGGAGCAGCAGAGAGGAGCTGTTATGAACTGACCAAACCTCCCCTTCCATATCTCTCTGCACTGCTGGTGGGAAGGGGTCAGGAATGAAAGAGTGAATTTGAGCTTGGGAAATGGGGCAGGAAAGGTGCTATTTTAAAGTTTGTCTTTTTTGTTTCGCACTACACAAATCTAATTTAACTGGTAATTAATTAATTTTCTCCAAGTCAAGTCTGTTATACTTGTGACAGTGATAGGTAAGAAATCTCCCTGTCTTCATCTCAACCCATGAGCTTTCTTAACTCCCCTCTGAGGAGGAACAGTGAGTGAGCAGCTGAGTGGTGTTTGGCTCTTTGCCAAGGCTAACCCACCACAATATGTGTACAACAAATAATATAAAATGAAATAAAGTTCTGTGTCATATGAAAGAAAAAAAAATTACAAGTCACCATGTCTTTAAGCTTTACTAGGGGTTTTGTGAACACCAGCATTCTTTAACAAGAAACAACCTATATCCACAAGACTGCATTCTGGTCATCATGACATTAATTTAATGAGCTCAGTGTTCAGTTTAACCTGTTTATGAGGGCCATTATACATATGAGTTTCAATTGCTGAACCAATATGATAATGAAAAAAAAGTATTTTTCAGATTTCCAGGAAATACGGAATATGCTTTCTGAAATAAAATTCTTGTTAGCTGAAGCTAGTGCAACAGATTTGAAAGCAACAAAGTAAGAATCCACAACGTTATTCTAGTTATTCTCTCAGCATTTATTTGAAATAGCAATACTTTTCATGACATAGTTTATATATTAAGCAGTAGGGAATTGTCTTCATTTCACATTATCCAGTACTGAAGTGGCACATTCGAAGCAGCACATTAAATCTCTGAAAGAGTCTGTACAATTTAGATAAATAGAACTCTGGATAACTAAACTAACAGAACTTCTGCAACTGTTACCAAAAGAATGCCAAGAAGCTAGGCACAGCACTGTACACACAAAGTGCAGGAAGGAGGAACACAAGAGAACCAACTAAACGTATGGGAAATGTTTTTGCATATACAGCCACATGTCTTAATTGCTCAACACAAAAAGATAAGTTTTAATTAGTCCTCATTGAGGGCAGAATATGCACAAATGATGTTCGAAGAACACGTGGTAGACAGAAACAAATGAAGTGAGGGTCATGTTTAGCTGGTTATCGTATTCCCCAGTGAATGAGTTTACAAAGGATATCTGGTGCTTAAGCAGCATAATTTTGTGCCAAGACTTGACAAGAAACAGTTAACAAATGCCAGTTTTATTCCCCATCTTGCCCTCTTACTGGCATTTTGGTGAGCATGCTTAAAGTTCCTGAAGGGCAAATTCAGGTGGTTTGTGGTCCAAGGTTTTTACTACAGGAATCCCCATTTTATGGTTTACAGTTTACCTCTGGATGGAAATAGGCCTTTTAACAATAACTAAGAATATAAAAATAAGCAGAGAGCAGCAGGACACACAGTATAGTGGTTCACTTTCTGAGAAACCAGAGGGTCTACATTTACACTGTCTCTGTGAGAACAGCAAGCCAGTTTGGTTGGAAGATACAATTCTGGTTAGTCAATGTTAGACCTGTGTGAACTGTATCATTAGGAACAGAAAGATGGAATGGCAAGAACTTTTCCCTCTTTTTGTAGAGAACTAAGACTGAAAAGTATACAGTGGTGATGGGCATTATCTTCCCAATACCACCTTCCCTTTCTGCTACTTCACTATGAGTTACTGGCTTTGTTTGCTGTCATCTGCCCAGGCTCATCTCAGTAATGGCTCTGGTCACCACCAGGCCAGCACGGCAAATGAATTAACTCACACTATGCTGTCTCAGAAGATATCACACATCACCACCACATAGTATGACAACATATAAACCAAAGATTCTCAGTGGGAATTGATGACTCTAACCACTGCAAGGTACTTATAAGGTGTAAGAAGCAGCATTTTGAAAGCAGTGGTACTGACACAACTATCTGGGTCAGAGGTGGTGGATCAGCCACCCTAATTGGGTAATGGAACTAGAATATCAACATAATTGATGGGGAAGAAACCTGACTGGCCGTGAAGCATCCCCTCATACCAGTTTTCATCAATCTGGTTAGTGAGGGTAATGACATCACCCTCTTTAAATCCCAGCTCCCCTTCATTTTCTGGTTCGAAGTCATACAGAGCTCGGCAGCATGGCTGATCCATGTGAACACCTATGGAGAAGAAACACAAAGAAATAATTTGCTGAAAAGTCTCAACAGTTACAGTATCATTTTTACCACTGTACCTACTACAGATTTTGCTGGTTTTGCTATCACTCATATGCTGACGACAGTTCTTTCATAATATCTAAATTGGAAATGCTAAACTTCATTAGAAGACAGCTATGAGCTTTTGGCAGCCTTCAGTTTTCAGATGTGACTGCTAGCAAATGTCTGAGAATTGTACAAGAACCAAGCTACAGTCAAGCCCACACCTAAAAATACAGTTTGGAATCAGTTTGGAATCTAATTTTCATCTGTTTACAAAACACAAAAAATGAGGCAAAAGCCCTAATGTATTTCCAGCTTTATTGGCACAGAGATCCTTTGTCTCTTTACCTCAGATAAGTAGTGTAGGGGGTAGCTTAAGACAACAATGAAGATATAACTGTGTCTTTGTCCTTTATTTGGAAACTTCACTGGTACATCTACGCTGCAAACAAATGTATATGCTCCTAATCCTCCAAATTTTATTATGAAGTTTTATAGAGAACTTTTCTCCCCATTCTCACAAAACACTTGATTGAAGGACCACCAGGATAGATTTAGAAAAAGTTTGAAATGGAAAGCTTTATTAGTTTATGAACATCTGACAATAAACCCTTTAGGATGGCTAATGGATATTGTAAGTCAATAGTTAGATTAGATTTTCATATGTTATACAAAATTAATAAATATCCCTCCCATCCTCAATATTCTCCCACACCAATGAACTCTCTATGGCTTCAAATCTACCAAAAGCAAAATTGTTATTGGTCAAAATATTTAGGATGTAGCAGTGCTAAATTGTAAGGAATCTTAAAGTTCATTCACTTCCAGTGGTCAGAATGAATGGACACATGCCACTCCCATCATAATGGCACTTCTAAGAATACATATTTCACCTTTTCGTGTATACTGGCTTCAGGATGAGTAAGTTACAGATTCAAAATTTTTGCATATTCATTTCAGCCACTCACTATGGCTGGCTGGAAGGCCCATGCTTGACTACTTTAGGACAAAAATACTCCATTTCTATAGATGTCAAATAGAGCAAGTTTTTCAAATACCAGATTTAATTCATTAAATTCTGTACTGAAACCTTCTTTCATTTCTTTACATATTGCTCACAGTGTATTTTGCTTTATTTGTCATGAAGACTATTTTGCTGACATCAACAAGCCTTACAACACATTTGGTATCTTCACTGATACCAGCTGGAATTTAGAAGACTTAGCAAATAAATTCTAATGATCATAGAAGATCAGAGCTTTGAATGAACCAACCCTAACATACATTAAAGAATTTTCAAAAAAGGCGGTGTTTCTCTGAAACTGATCAACACTTCAAAAGAAAGAACCCCTGTTGAATGAAATGCTAACTACTGCCCTCTGAAGAGGAAAACACAAATGCTGAAGAGACAGAAGAACATCAGTCTGCACTACCTTAGCACAGACAAGTGTTCATGACACTACAAAAAAAGAAGTGAAGAAGAAAATTACCAGTGGCATGAGGAGAGCTTTAGCATGCAAGATTCAAGCCACACTCATGCACAAGGAATCTCCATTGTATCCCCCCTCCTCACTAGCATAGGAAGGCTAGATTTGCAAGATTATGCAAGACAAGTTCCAGTCACAGGTGCCAAATGGAGATACTGTTGCTGCCTGTATCTGGGAGAACATCAAACATTCATATCATGATGTGGTGGGAAGGAAGGAAGGAAAACCTAATAAAGATCAAGTGAAAAAAATCCAGTCTTGCAAGGTGGAGTGTGTTAGCAATTGTCACTGAGGTAAACTGGAATAACTGAGGTCAGGATCTGGACAGAGGCCAGCTCTCACTACAACATGGGATAATAGACCATTACTGTGAGAAATAAATAAATAATAAGGCCTTCTTAGTATGTGCTGATATGAAACTAACACTAAGAGAATAATTATGCACAGTCATATAAATGCATAATCTTGCTCATGCGGCTCCCAATTGGACAAAGAAAATACGTTGGATGGCTTCATTTTTCTTTTTAGTGATTTTTATTTTTAGGCTTTTTATGTTGTAATACCTGGTTTTAAAAAGCAGAATAAGGTTATGGAGGTTTTGGAGGGGTTCAGGGTTCTGCATTTTAATGGAAAACTTCCAGTTGTTTTTTCAGTTTTCTAAATGTCTATTTTGTAAGGTTTGTTTTTCAAGTGAATTTAGTATGGCAGCAACTCTTTGAGCTTCTAGGGCTAAGGAATTTTTGACCCAAAGACATATTTAAAGCAGTGGATGATCTATTCCTGTTCTCCTGCCTGGGGATGTGAACACTTTACAAATAAACAACATTTCAAACATTTCTCTCCTATCCTATCCTCATTTTCATTTGCCCTCATTATGGAAGAAGTAATCTCTAGAAGAAAGTATGGAACTTCTGCATTGCAGCAAAACTTCAGACAGGGTTGGCGCTTTTTTTTCACATTGCTACTGCCATTACCTGACGGTTTGGGTGTGGTGGCATGGGATATTCCTCCATTGTGCTGAGTATTGTCACCAGTTGTGAAATCCAGGCTCATACGGGGTTTGGGCTGGTATTCTCTCCTGGGCTGAGATGATGCCTCTTTTATTCTGCCAAAACATGAAGTTAAATGTCAAGTTAGTTTCTTGTTAACAGATGAGATGCACCAAACATCTTTATTTCCATGGCTGAAATTACCATCTACCAATCATTCAGACTAAACAAGTTTTGGCATTTGGAGTAATTTTTTGTTTACATTAGTTTAAATAACCCAAACCATCTGATGTGACTATGCCATGAGATTGTTAGTTGTTCTTTCCCTCTATGAACCTAGCATTGTGTCTGTCTTCCTTTTGTCTAACAATAACAAAGAGCTTCTAATGCAGAAAATCTTGTTATGTGATTAGCAGTGCTTACAGAAGGGCTGTACAAACATCTCTGCCCCCATTTTTAGCAAGATTTTTGTTTCTATCCCTGGCAAGCCTTAACTGTTCAGTTGGTTGATGCCAACTCTTGTCATTTTGTAAGGAGACTGTGTGGGAATGTACTGACTTCAGTTGCAGACAGTTCATTTCTAATTTGGAATACTTGTATCACAAAACCACAAAACTCCAGTATTCCTGATTCTCAGAATAAAAAACAAATATGCATCACTCATTTCAACTTATTCTTCTAATTGAGAAACCTAGAATTTCTAGGAAAGGCTACATTTTCAGATTCCAGGGTAAAATCCAGGGAAGGGATGACAACAGAATCAGAGCAAGCTTTTACAAAACAACTGCCACATATATTTCTAATACTGCTTATGGAAGAATACTTAGGTCAAGACTTCCATACTTAAAGGACAAGTCAGTTTCTCTAACCTTCTCTAGATCTGCCCCAGACTTGCTGTTGATAGCACATTTTGATTTATCTGTTGAAAAGATGTGCTTCTAATTTAACCAGTTCTGGTCCTGATAACAAGGGTTTCCTCACCATACAAAATATTATCAATATTTGTCAGTCCTCAGAAACTGCTTTTCTTCTTCATAAACAAAAACATAAGCATATTAAAAACATAAATTAATGAAGTTATGAAGTTGTCAAACAAGTAAAAAGGTTTTGCTGTGTGCAGTTACTTTTTCAAAACAGTTAAGTTATGAAGAAAGAAATACTTCTAGTATTTCTAGAAAACTTCGAGTTCTATTATACTTAATACTTCCATGAAGAAAACACCATTTTTTATAGTTTATGAACTAGAAGCCTATGGTTCCAGTGATTTTCTAAAAATTACCCAAAAGCTCAGCATGACCCATGTTTCTTAAGAAAAGAAACATCTCCAAGGAAACCACTCCTGCTTCCCAGCTACTCTGTTATGATACTCTGCCTTTAAAACTGTAGCCTCCTTTTGCATCATGAAAAAGAAAGTTTAAAAGGAAAACCCTTTGCTGACCTTCCAGATTTTATTAATTTTATTGCAAGACTCACAATGTTTGCCAAGCTTCTAAAGTTCCAGTTCCTAGAATCATGGTATATTAAGGAAGTTTACACCTTCCATTCATGTGTAGAAGAAAAATGAAAATTATTGCACTTGCAGTTCCTGAAGAAAGTTTGAAGCCTAATATAAAGAGTCCAGAACAAATAGAAGACTCAAATGCATTTTTAAATTTTTCATGGTTTTCTGCAGTGTAATTCATATTTTTAATAATTATTTGGGCAATATTTTAAACAGGACAATCTTAGCAGTTAGAAAACATTGTCCATACTGAACAACAGCACAAACAAGTTCCATTTACATCTTTTAAAAATTATCCGTAAAATGACCAGTATGTGCTCTAGACATCACTGAGAGTGAACAGTAACAAATTTGCTCAGCTTAAAAATAAAGTGTTATTTATATTCTGGTCCATATGGTCAAAAAAAAACCAACCCCCAAAACCAAGAGCCATGCATTCTTTACCACCTGCATATCACCAGCAGGAAAAGACAAGTAGTTCAAATAGTTCAGATCTATGTCCCTGCTTAATCCCTGGCATGAGCACATTGCAGTGCTCTGATTTGTGCCCAGTGGCATGGACAAATGATGATTTAGCCAGCAGACTCTACAATTAGGGATGCACGGTAAGTTTATGCAAAAGATTTACTTTGGCTGATCTATAATTGCAGTCCGATGTGAGGTTCTTGAAAGGCTAAAATTATTCAGAAATGAAATAATCACAGAATCATCACAGAACGTGAGGATGTGAGGGATTGGAAGGGACCTCGAAAGATCATCTAGTCCAATCCCCCTGCTGGAGCAGGAACCTAAATGAGATCACACAGGAAGGTGTCCAGGCGGGTCTTGAAAGTCTCCAGAGAAGGAGACTCCACAATCTCCCTGGGCAGCCTGTTCCAGTGCTCTGTTATCCTCACTGTAAAGAAGTTTCTTCTCAAGTTTAAGCGGAACCTCCTGTGTTCCAGCTCACACCCACTGCCCCTTGTCCTACCACTGGACATGACTGAGAAGAGCCTGGCTCCATCCTCCTGACATTCGCCCTT